ATATAAACTTGTGTTCTCAATTACAATTACTATTTGTATTCATAAACATCACATCATTCACAGTTCACACAACTAAGTCTGAAAAACAAACAAACAAACCCCTCTGAAGTAAACGTGGCTTGCTTTTGCTGGCCCCTCTGACAAGGCGGGAGCACATTGTCTGAAGAAGACATGGAGACATGAGGCCAGGAAGTCTTGTCCAGTTTTCTGTGGTTGGTTTCTGTCGCTGAATCCTTGACTGTGGTTTCCAAACACTTCATCTTAACCTCACCCCCCCCCCCCCCACCAACCCCCCCCCACACACACATTCCCTTGACCCTGGAGGGAAATTACCGAAAACTAACATTGTAACTCTCCCAGAAATGAAAATGAAGTCTCCCCGAATGTTTTCACTGAAATGTCTGCTCTCTCAAACCTCTGGAAAGGGCTTTGTAGTCCCAGAGGCAGATCTGTTTCTGAGTACTCTCTGAGGGTTAGTTAGCAAACCCTAAGTAAATTAGGAGTGACGAAGCCCTGGTTCCAAGGTAGGGTGGGAGGTCTGGTGTTCAGGAGGTGTTCAGAGTCACTGTTTTTTTTTTTTTTTTTTTTTTTTTTGGTTTTTCGAGACAGGGTTTCTCTGTGTAGCTTTGCGCCTTTCCTGGAACTCGCTTTGTAGACCAGGCTGGCCTCGAACTCACAGAGATCCACCTGCCTCTGCCTCCCGAGTGCTGGGATTAAAGGCGTGCGCCACCACCGCCCGGCCCAAGAGTCACTGTTTTTTACAGGTGTGAGTCTACAGTCTGATCTTAGCCAGCTTGAACAAGGTATTTTTAACCCCCCCCCCCAGGAAACTGAGTGAGTGGAAGCCACTCCAGTGTTATTATTAAAGACTTAATAACGTGGAACTCTGTGGACTCCTCCCTAGGGGAATGAGTGGAGAGAGATGGGGGCAGGGTTGACTTCGTGCAAACCTGGACAGCAGAGCAAAGGAACATTGAACACTCACTGGGCTTTTCTTGCTTCTTTTCTGTGAGTTTGGAAAAAAAAAAAAAAAAAAAAAAAGCATGATCCACAGGCATTTCCCCCCAGAAATCCTATTTCCATGATTATAGCTGAATATTTGCCATTTGTGATGCAGACCTGAAGCCAGAGGACAGCCCTGAGGAAGGAACCTTAAACTAATTGAGGCAGGTCCCTGGGAATGCTGCCTGGGGTGATAGAGAACATTAGTTTCTATTTTCCAATCAAACATTGAACACTCAAACAACTGGAGGGTAAGTTTACTTTTCCTCACTTTTTGTCCAGGAGTGGAAAAAAAACCCTAAAGATATTATCTAGGATCCTAATGGACACCCCCACACACACACCACCCCCTAAGAGTGCACGTCACATGAGTAAATGAGAAAGGCTGAGTCATCCACCTCCCCTCACAGTGGGGAGCATGATGCGTCGGAGGGCTGACGCAGCTCTTTGCTCCTCTGCACAGAGCATCCCGTGCCTCCTTGACCCACGGGAGTCCGCAGTGAATCGTGCACTCTCGTTACCTTCAGACAGTAACCCCGTGAGCTAACTGGCATTACCTGTGCTTGACAACCAAGGAAACTGAGCCTCTCAGACAGCTATGAGAACTTTGCTCAAGGTCACCCAGCTTCTCAGGGGCAGAAGCAAGACTACTGATAGGCCGGTCCAGTTTCCAGTCTCATCCCCGGCCCCTCCCAGCACTGCCTGGACGGTGGCGGTGGAGCTGAGAGCTCAGTGTCCCATGCTGCTGCATCCTCCATTGAATATGAAGCTCAACCTGCCGCACAGATCTGTAAATTAGTAGGCGGTGTCTAAATTGTATTGGGAGCATTTGTGGCAATGAAGCACCCGTGGGGAGGTGGTAGAAAGGAAGGGGAAATGCAGTTAGGTCTGTTATTCCAGGGTCAGCCATTCTCAAGCTTGATGTGACATTGGCACCCTGCCGTGTCTTGTGACCTGAATAATTAATATTACTGGATTTCAGGCGCTGTTTTCTCATGCCTGGTCACTGAATGCCACCTCTTTGCAGACAGAGAAGCTTGAAGAACATGCCCAAGGTCTCTGGGACGCTGAGCAGCAGAGCTGAGGCTCGTGCTTATTCTGCCTCCCAGTGACACCCTGTCCTCTCCCCAAGGGAAGTCACCTACCTTTCCGGCTGACGTAAGCAGTCCTCTGCAGAAGGGGCCACTTCAGAGGTGCTGCCCCTCCGAGTTGTACACCAGTAGATAGAGGGTGAAGTTTTGTGCTCCCAGCCAGCGAGGCTGGGCGACACAGACCTCCTCATTCTCTGCCGCAAGGAGAAGTGCAAAGGGCTGCAGTCCCTTGCATGTGAGCTGGGATTGTCTGGTAACATTGCAACAAGGTCAGAGGAGGAATAGACAGGAGGAGGCGCAGGGAAGGACAGGGAGGAAGGAATACGGGCCAGGTGCAGATAGACAGCTATGAAAACGCCATCCTGAAGCCCAATGTTTTGTATGCTAACTAAAAACACTTAGTTTTACATTTCAACACGGGAAACTGGTTCTCTTAGCATTCACGTAACCACCATCAAAGCTGTATGTACTTTTAAGGGCACTGACTGGTATTGTTCATAGTAGCAAAAGCTAGAAGCAACCAAATGAGCAGTGGGGGATGGTTGGTGTGCATAAAGAAGGTCCCTACTCCCAGCTGAGGAACTCTCCACAGGGAGACATCTGCCTGGCTCAGGAGAGGCTTCTTGAGAGAAAATGCTAGTCTCTCAAGAGCACTGTATCAAGACTAAATACTCTAAATAGAACATCTCTGGAAAACTATACAGGTAAGTAATTATCAATAGTGAGTACCTCTAGAAATCGGGATGTGGCAAGAGCCTTTTCCTTCTGTGGCCTTTTATATTATTTAAACATTTGGAATAAAATTTATTGAAATACATACAACTTGAATTTTCAGTTTGAACATTGCTTTTTATAGCAGCGAAACTTAATGATTCATTGTTGAATTATCACCCATTAACAACATGAAATAATTAATAAGATGTTTATTTTTTACTTATATTTTAATTGCATTTGTATTTGTTGGTGGGGTGGTGAATGCCACAGTGAATGTGTCGAGGCCAGAGGCCAACTTGCAGGAACCAGTTTTTCCTTTCACCATGTGCATCCTGGGTGACCTGAGCTCAGCAGTTGTGACTACAAATGCCTCAATCTACCAATCTCTACCGATCCAGCCTGCCAACCCCAGATTGTTAAAAAAAGCAAAAAAAAAAAAAAAAAAAAAAAAAAAAAAAAAAAGCAAAAATTCATCAGAAGAAACTAAGGAAAAACACTGGACAGTGTATTATGCAGACTTCAGGCCTGCTTTTTTGATGTACAAGCCACCCCATTAGAGACAGTTACATAAGGAAAGCCACAGTTACCAGCAGTCACGTTTGTACAAGCAGAACCTAGCAGTAAGTCAGAAGACATTTGACGCATCTAGACCCGAATGTATTAATTCATCAGCAACTGTTGCGTTTCTTGGATGTTTACCCTCCTTTCATTTTTACAATCACCTTACTAGATAGTAGCTGATGTTATTGTTGCTGTTTTGAACCCAGATAAGCAAGCATTCTACCAAATGAGCTACATCAAGTCATTTCTGCGCCCATTTTGCAGATTTAAAAAATAACAACCATCTCTAACACAAGTCATTTTTGTGCCCATTTTGCAGATTTAAAAATTAAAAAAACAAAAACCAACAACTTAAGTCTTGATAAAGTCCAGCTACGTAGCCAACCGGGAAGCCCCGTCCTTGGTCTTCTCAGAGGTGAGCTTTTAACTACTCTGTGTAGTGTGTCTTGGTAAAATGGGAGCCCAGGACTCAGCTTGCCTCTCTCTGCCCTCAGGTCCTGACCCTGCCTGCTGTCTGTGCCACCGTGTCGAGGCCCCCTGAGGCGGCATTAGTTGGCCAGTCTCTCCTTGGTGCCATCCCTGCAGATGGATGTAAGCAACCTCTCGCGGCATCCCGGCTTCACACAGAATCATCTCTCTGAAACAACAACAACAACAAACAGGAGAGACCGGCCGAAAGATGCCGTTTAAAAATAATGCGGTTACTCATGGAACTGGATGCGCTTTTGACTGTGAAGGAGACGGGCAGGGAACTTTAGCTGAGGACCGGTGAGGACATGACCCACGTTAGGCTCTTTTCTGCCTAACGACTCAGAGGACGTCTCTCATTGGCTGCAGGAGAGAGCTTCTCTCCATCTCATTGGCTGGGACTTTGCCAGCCGGGCCCTTTGTCCTCTGCTAAGCCCGTGGCAGGTATTCCATTGTGGTCAAAGTGGCTGCAGCTTGGGAGTCCAGAAATCCAGGTTCTAGAGCTACCCCGTGTCCCCGACAGAAAAGCAGTTATCCCACACCAGTGACACCAGCATCTTTGCCTCCTTCGAGAGCGCCATTGTCTCAAGCCGCAGTGGTACAGCGCTTTCTTCTGCTACTTGTTCAGGACCTGGTACCAAACCCAAGGGCAGGCTGAGTCCAGAATCCAGGGGCTCAGAACAGCAGAGTGCAGGCTTGCCTGGACCCGGCTTCCTGGAAAAACAGGGTTCTGAGGGAGGCCTGGAGGAGCCAAAAAAGATCTCTCGTTTGCAATTAGAAGACAATTAAGACAGGATTCAGAACAGCTTCGTGTTAAAAGCCAGTCACTGCTGAATTCCTCATGGGTAGGAGGAGGATGGGAAGTGAGGAGGCATGGCATGCATGTGGGAGAAATCTTAGCTGGTGGCTAATTGCATGATTTAAGTTCCATAGGGCTCTGCACCCCCTGGGGAGACCCGGCTTCCACACTACATGCTTAATCCCTGGAGAATGTCCCTGTCACTCAGGGGCCTCAGCCAGGCAATCGGTGCCTCTGGGAGAGAGGGGATTCCTTCATCCCAGCCCTCCCCCAGCACCCTCCTCTGTCTCCTCTTATCACCTGCCTGCCTGTCTGTCTGTCAGGCCAGTTGGTCGTCAGAGCATAAACATTTCAGGCTATGTGCCCACCAGCTCCGGGATCAGGTGACCTGATTATGGAAGGCTACACCGGAGGCCTCTGCATGCCAGCGTGTCGCCAGGAACAGTGAGAGCCTGTGATGTGCTGACCTCACAGAGTGGGCACCCGTGCAGCTGGCCTGGGTGAGTGCCCCTCCCTGGTATGGCTTCTTTGATCACCCTAGGCCACCCTGCAGGCATGGGAAGCCCTGCTGGTTCCCCCTCTGGACAGATGGTAGGTCTACAAGCTGTCAGTGCAGTCCCTTTGCCTCTTGGAACCTCTGTGTCACTTTCTGAAAGTCAGAAGCAGAGCCAGGTGTGGTGGCACATGCATGTTTCTTGATCAGGAGGCGGAGGCAGGAGAATTGGGGTTTTCAAAGTCATTTTTGGCTAGGAGTTTGAGGCAAGCCTGGATCACATGAGACCCTGACTCAGAAAAACAAAAAGAAAACAATGGGGTTACTGTGAGGGGGAAATGAAAAAACAGCCCAATGTCATCTGGTTCTGATGGGACTCAGTAAGCCAGTGTGGGCTGTTTTTATCGTGGTTTGTGGACTTGCTCTGAGAGGAGGCTGGTAATCCTCATACAGTCCCTCTCTGGGTGCCAGCACCCTCTGCATGCACAAGCCCTGGGTGAAAAGATACCATCCCAGAAACAGGCAAAAGAGGAGCAGGGGCATTGTCAGAGGAACCCGAGATGACTGAAGAACTCACAGACCTGGATCTGAGTCCTGGCTCTGCCCATTGTCACCAAGCTCCTGAGACTGTGTTACCTCACTTCTCAGTGCTTCCTGACTTCCCTCATCCAGAAGATGGGCATGGCAGATCTTTCCTCCACTGTTGTCAGGCTCAAGTGTGGCTCGGGGTCATTATGATTCATTACAGCAGCAAAATTACAGTTATGAAGTAGCAACAAAAATAATTAGGAAGGCTGAGAACCACTGTTCTAAAGTTTGATGCCCTACAGAAGTGACAAAATGGCCTTCAGCTTCTCCATGTCTACATCCTCCCAGGGTGAAGTCTAAGAGAAAAGCATGCTCCTCCCACAGTGATCCTAACAACATCCTTGTTGCCTGCTCTGGTTGTGATGAAAAGATAGCCTCAAACCCATCTATAACTAGAAAATGTGGCACTTCCTCTGCTGATCTGGTGTCACGTCCACTCTTGGTGATGTCAACTCTACCTGAGTGCCAAACTGAAACCTGGGAGTTTATGGCTCCCAAACTGGGAAGTCACAGGGTGCCAGGGCGAGCGGTTTCTGGGCCTAACTACACTGTTCTTTTACTTGGAAAAAAAAAAATGTCTACCATGTCCCCAGGGTTTGTCTTATCAGGTATGTCTGAGCTCGAAGGACACAGAGCAACAGGCATTTCAGAACACTTGGCACACAGTAAAGATATTTGAAAAATGTTCACAAAACAAAGATGAAATAAATATGTATACAGAAAAAGAAAAAAAAAAGCATGCACAGGATGGTCCTCAGATCAAGCCCACACTTAGTTCTGTAGAGGCTCTGGGCTCTGGAATGTTCTGCCCCTTCAACTGGGTGGTAGTTCTGTGGACACATTTACTTTGGGGAAATCAATCAGGCTGTGCATATACAGAGAGGTCCTTGTCTGCATGCATTTTTACATTTCAGTGAACATTTCCTTAAAAATTAGAGAAAGAAAAGATACACTAAACCTCACATGGTCTAGCTAAGCAAGGCACAAGGAGAGCCACATTCCTTCCCCTGTGGAATCTTTTCTCGCCGTCTGTAGTCTCAGACACATTACAGTCTTCCAACTGCTGGGGTGTTTATTGCCCACAGAACCATTTTGAGAAGGTTGGTTTTCATAATAAGTCAACATCTCTACAACTCCCCCAACACCAACAAGTTAAGATGCTGGGTTTTTTGTTGTTGCTGTTATTGTTGTTGGTGGTGGTTTTTTGAGACAGGGTTTCTCTGTGTAGCCCAGCCTGTCCTGGATCTCGCTCTGTAGACCAGGCTGACCTCAGACTCACAGAGATCCTCCTGCCTCTGCCTCTGGAGTGCTAGGATTAAAGGTGTGATCCAGCACCTGCTGGCTCAAGACTGAAGTTTTTAAGCTTGAGTTGTGACGATCATTATTAAAGCAAGAATGTTTTGTATCCTAAATACTCTGATAACTTTTTGAGACAAGGTCTCACAAAGCCCAGGCTTCGCAGAGCTTGCTACATAGTTGAAGATAGTCTTGAACTTCTCATCATCCTGATCCTCCTACCTCTACCTCTCAGGCATTGGAATTATAAGCCTGGGCCACCGTGTCTGATTTATGTGGTGCTGGAAATCGAACCCAGGACTCTGTGCATGCTAGGCAAGGAAAGTGTATTTCCACTCCCCTATACTTTTTTTTTTTCTGCACTACTGGAAAGAAAGTTGTAGACACCATGACTGTTCTTCCATGAAAAACAAAGATTCCCAAAGAACCACCCTCCCCATGATGACATCAAGACTCCCCAGACTGGACTGGAGATTTGTTCAGTGGTTAAGAGCATGGATTGCTCTTGACAAGACTTCAGTTCATTTCTAGCACCTATGATGGATAGCTCACAATTTACTGCAACTCCAGCAGGAGATGGGTTCCAGGCTGCCTTCTGCCTGAACACACAGAGATGCATGTACTCTCACACAGACACACACACACACAGGAATTAAAATAAAAATAAGCTCTTGCACAGAGGAAAATCATGTAGGAGATGTGTGTTTCCTACTGTTTGCTCCAGCTAGCGCTGTTGACTCACCATTAAAATGGGCCTCATCTTTTCCCTTGTCATTGGAATCACTTCTGCTGGGTTTTTGTTTTGTTTTTGTTTTTGTGTTTTTGGTCAGTGTTAGGGATTGAACCCAGGGCCTTGTGTGTGTTGGTAAGCAAACATTCTACCATGATCTAAGTCACCAACACTTTTTAATTTTGAGACAACGTTTCACTTAAGTGGCCCAGACTGGCCTTAAACTCCTGCCTCAAACTCCCAAATAGTATATTTAAAATTTGGGACCATTTAAGTAGGATATCCACCAATAATCACTTTAATATTCATTAATGATCATTGTTATTCATTACAAAGGTTTTTCTAATTATATCAATCTAAATTTATTGGTTGATTTCTTTTTGTAAAGACAGAGCTTGCATGCTAAGATCAATGGTACATAACTGTAATCCTGGCACTCAGGAGACTGGGGCAAGAAAATCACAAATCCCAAGTCACGCCAGCCCATGAGACCCAGTCTAAAATGTAGAAAGCCTAACCCACCCCATCCCTTTCTCTCACTCTCTCCAATCATCTCTCTTTTCACAAAAAGGTTTAAAAGCACCGTGGACCTTTTTGTCAGAAAACTCTTTTTTTGCATCTTTTATACTTTTAAAGCTGTTTTATTACCCCCCCCCCCATTTTTAAGAGTTCCTTATATATCAGGGAGAGCAGAATTTATACACGACACTGTCTTCATTTGCTTTCGACTTTGCTGGGTTTTTTTCCACACCCATTTTAGTTTATTTTTATGTAGTACAATTTATTGGATTTTCACTGCTGTTGAATTTGGACCTTGAGTCAGAGTTAGAGAAGTTCCCCACATTAAAACTTTTTTTTTTTTTAATTCTCACCTCTCCTTTGAGTGTCTATGTGATTTATTTTCACACTAAGATGCCTGTCTGTTTGGAGTTATTCTGGTGTACAGTGTGAGGCGTGTATCCAGTTTTAACCTGCTCCAAATGGCCGCCCAGTTGTCCCCACAGCACTTATTAAAGGACCGGTTTTTCTTTCAGTATTTCAGATGCCCTGTTTATCCAATGGTGAATGTCCATGTGGACTGAAGTCTAATTCTGGACTTTCCACTTTATTCTAATAGTCTCTTTGCTTACCAGTTTTAGTTATAGACTTTTTATAACATGATTTATTGTTTGCCAACCCTCTCCTCCCAGCTCTTCCTCCTGAAGGTCCCATTAAATGAGGGGGGGGGGAGCGATGTACACTTTCAATCAAAGCACTTGAGAGGCAGAGGCAGGCAGATCTATGAGTTCAAGGCCAGCCTAGTCTACAAAGAGAGATCAGAGATCCAGGACAGCCAGAGCTACACAGAGAAACCCTGTCTAGAAAAAAAAAATCCCATTAAGTGAAACACAAAATAAATCAAATATCATCTTAGGGGAAATTAAACTTTTACGGTGCTGAGTTGTCCCATCAGAAAGCAGAGGTGTTGCTTGCCCTGTCCAGGTTCCTTTACGACTTGGAGAACGTTTGAAAGTTTTCCTCAGAAACATTTTCATGACTTCAGAGGTGGCAAATGAAACAGTTGACATTCCAGCAGATCAAAGCACAAGTTTTATTACAGAAAGAAATGATACTAGGAGGGAGGGCAGGGCCAAGCAAATCACCATGCTGCCACCAGCTGCCACACTCAGTCCAGAGGGACAAGAGACCCGCAGCTGGGCAGACAACCTGCCAGGGCAGAAAGCAGCACCACCCCGGGAGCAGACCCTGCCCTACAGCTCTGGGATGCTGGGACCTAGAGATTCCAGCGGCGCCCACTTGTAACACCAGACTTGCCTGTTACACACCAGCTTTATCTTCTTTGTGTGTCTGCATGCACGTGTGCCTGTGTGTGTGTGTGTGTGTGTGTGTGTGTGTGTGTGTGTGTGTGTGTGTGTGTATAGAGGCCTGAAATTGACATCAGGCATCTTTCTGACGAAGAAGGCATTGGATAGAAACAGTAGGCATCTCCAAATCCTAGTGGTCCTGGGCATCTCAAGGTCCATCTCAGGGTCTTCGGTGGCCACTCTCACGCTGCTTCCTGGCCATGATTCGGTGAGCAGCCTTGTGTTCCTCATCACCATGTTCTGCCTCACTACACTTCAGAACCCCGGAGCCCAGTGACCATGAGAAGGAATCTGTGAAGCCAAGAGCCCAAGCCAGTCCTTTGGAGCTGGGCTTCAGCTCATGGGCAGAGCACTGGCTTAGCATGCCTGAAGCCGTGTGTTTGACTCCCAGCACCATATAAGGATCAGACAGTCAGGTCACCCTTGACACACAGAGAGTTTGTCATCAGCCTGGGCCAGGTGAAGGTGTCTTAACAACACAAGAACAAAGCAAAGACTAGCAAACCAACTCTGGTTAAAAGCATTTGTTGCTCTTGCGGAGGCCTGGGTCCAAACCCCAGCATCAATGTGGTGGCTCACGACTCTCTGTAATTCTAGTTTCAGACAGAGGGCATTGGATCCACCACAGGCATTCCTGGTGCATAATACAAATAAAATAAAAATTTAAAAATTAAAAACAAATCTTACCCCCTTTAAACAGACAAAAACAAAAAAGTAGGCTAGGGATGTAACTCAGTTGGTAGATTGTACGACATGCACAAAGCCCTGTGTGTGAATCTTGCATACTGTAGACCAGGCATGATGGTGGTGCACACTTGTAATGCCAGCATTTGAGGAGCGGAGGCAGGAAGATCAAGGTCATGTTAGGTTATACATTGAGTTTGTGGCCAGCCTTCAGTGCATGAGGACCTGTCTCAAAAACAAATACATTTTAAAATGTCGGAGTGATTCACCTGGATGGCCATCATAGGTTTTCTGTACGGCAAAGCTGGTGCCTATTCAGCTAACTTTCATCTTCCTGGCACTGTCTTCCTTGGTCTTACTTGGCAGCCTTTCTTCAGGCACGATCAGGGTGGGGCAGGCTTTGCACTCTGTTTCCACAGCACCCGGAACTCTGCAGGTACCCCTGTCTGGTCATTGCCATTTGCTGGCTGCACCCCTCTGAGGCTGTGAAGCCGTGTGTCTTTTCTTCCCTTGCGTTCCTGGATAACGGCACAGGGGGTGCCCGAAAATACCGCTTTGTTCCAAACCTGAATGACTACTGTCCGCTCCTCCCCAGGCCATTTTCATCACCTACCTACCAAAGGAAAGGGAGGCTGGACCAGTGTTAATAATGATGAAAAATACCATGAATCATATATGGAAACTTAAAGTTTCTGTTAATTGCCTGAGAGTATCATGGTCAACCAAGTCACTTAAATTTCCTTTGGTGTCATAAGGAAAATGAAGTTATTAACATCCATCAAACTGAGAGTCAGGCATGGTGAGTCAAGCCTGTAACCCCAGCATGTGGGAGGTGAAGGCAGAAGAATCAGGAGTTCAAGGTCATCCTTGTCTACTTGGGGAGTTCAAAGCCAGCCTGAGACCCGGTCTCAAAACAAAGAAACAAACAAAACCTATCATATTAGTTTGTTTTGATAATTAAATAAAACAAAATTAGTCAAATGTTTATTTAGGCCAGGTAGTGGTGGCGCATGCCTTTAATCCCAGTACTCAGGAATCAGAGCCAGGAGGATCTCTGTGAGTTTGAGGCCAGCCTGGTCTACAGAGATGGATCCAGGACAGGCACCAAAACTACACAGA